TCATGCATGATCCATAGTCGGGTCTTGGCATTGCCACTAAGGCTGCGATAGCCACGATAGCCCACGGTAGTGTGGACAGGGGATTCTTTCTAGAGGGATACTAGTACTCAATTCTGATGACAGCTTGGGATTCTTTCTTCTACCGTTGTACCGATCTACGGCGTCCGTCATCCAAGGGATGAAAGTAGGGCGTCAATTGGCAGTGGAGCCTCCTGAACCAGACTGGCATCGAAGCATGCAGTTCTGGAGAACAGCAGAGGTGCAGTGTTTCAGGAGTGGTGGAAATCCAGGGGAATTGGAATGTCTTATGGAGTCCGAACCTTTTGAAGTCAAGTCTCCTGCACGAGCTCACCTCATTTCCATCTCTTTCACCTTGCATGCCCCTTTCTTAGGCTGAAGTTGGGTGGGCTGGATTGTGATGAGTTGATCCAATTGAATTGAATCAGACCCGTTAGTTCATCACATTCAAGGGAGGAAAAGAATATAAAAAATATTAAAAAATATCAAAAAATAATATCAGTAAATAAAAATATCAAATAAATACGAATAAAATCCATTAATAACATAAGCACCAAAGGAACCAGGGGGCTGGTAACTTAGTTGGTAACTCATTTACCGTATGAAAACCCATCCCAGTGGCGCTTCCATAGTGGTCCAATCGAGCCAATCGCTCCGATCCTACTTGACATCCGGTATATCTTACCACGTTACCATACCTCGGAGCCGTCGGAGAAAACTGGTAAAGCATTAGTAAACCCGAGAGAAGAAGAAACAAGATTCACGCCAGGGGAAGAAAGCGAAAGGACTGGGAAAGAATATGAGTAAATAAGTAAAATTAAAGAAAAAAAAGAGGAAAAAATAAGAAAAAGAATCCCAACCAAAACTTGGCGCTTGGATCCATCCGTGACCCAAGGACTGACTCTCTCTCTCTCTCTCTCTCTCTCTCTCTCTCTGGTTCTCCTCTTCGCTTCTTTTCAAGCTTTCTCCCTCTTCTTGTTTTTCCCCCTCTTGCTCTTGTACTCTCTTCCTAAATCTCGTCAATCCTTTCACTCCTGCCTGGGAAATTTGAACTTCCTATCCCTTGATTGGGAACCATTCTCCGTCTCTTGCAAGGCTCCGAGTCCTTCAACGCCTTCTCCACGTGTGCATGTCGGTCAGTCAACTCCATTTTTGCTCGTTCCCGCAAATTACAGGACCGATCCGGCTCCCTCGGAATCGGCCTCCACCCTTCTCCTATCCTGTACCTGAATTTTACCTCCACGACTCGACCTTTGAATTCCTTTCTACCTTCTTTACACCCATTCGACCATAATTTTATTTTCATTTCATTTGATCCTATTATATTGGGGAACGCCGTCGCTAACTGCTGTTCCGCGGCTGAATAGATTGGTGTCGATCTATTCTTAACCCAAGAAACCAGACTGGTGGTGCCGTGATAACAATTTCTGTCCCGGTGTTCATCGCAGAGTTAAACCCTCTCAATTCACCAGTGGTGCAACAACACTCACTTGTCTGGTTCGTCGGTTTCCTTGCGATGCCTCGTCGATCTGTTGGTTCTTCCTCCGCTCAAGACCCCTCCGACTCGCCGTCCTTTTCTCCCTCCTCCACCTCCTCCGGGAAGCGCGGTATTGCGACTCAATCGTCCTCCGTCAAGCCCAATCGCTTCGTTCAGTTCTTTTCCGCCTCCCCGAAGCCCAAGGCTGACGCGACTGCCCCTCGCCAGACCGCTAGTGCCAATTCACAGCCTCCTGCCTCCGCTCCTCCCATCAGCTCAGCCTCCCTATCGCTGCCGACGATCTCCCTGTCCACCGCCACCGCGGACAACCCCAACATGGACGAGCCCCCCACGACGCTCTTCCAGCCCCCTTCGCCGGAGCAGGCCCGTCGCCTGGCGAAGCAGCATGCTCAGTTCGGGCCCATCGGTCATCAAAGCCACCGCTATTCCAGTCGACATCCCGGCGGTGTCTTCCCGGAGCCCGTCATGGACGAACCGCCCTATTATTATCTGCTCACCACCTACATCAGTTACCTAATTCTAATTGCTTTTGGGCACGTCCGTGACTTCTTCGGGAAGCGCTTCCGCGAGGAGCACTATCGCCACCTGAAGCCGCAGAATGGCTACGGGGCCTTGAACAGTGACTTTGATAATTTCTACGTCCGCCGCTTAAAATTGCGCATCAACGATTGCTTCGAACGCCCCGTGATCGGCGTGCCCGGCCGGTACATCACCTTGATGGACCGGTCCACCAATGACCACAATAAGCATTTCTACTTCACCGGAACCACCACCGACACCCTGAACCTCAGTTCGTACAATTACCTGGGTTTCGCCCAATCCGAAGGCCCCTGCGCCGACATGGCCGAGGAGGCGATCCGGAAATACGGCATCGTCTCTCCCAGCACCCGCGCCGAAGTCGGCTCGCAGGATCTGCACGTGGAAGTGGAGGATCTGGTGGCCAGATTCGTGGGCAAGGAAGCCTCGATGGTCTTCTCCATGGGTTTCGGAACCAATGCCAATGTCTTCCCCGCTTTGGTAAGCCGGGGCTGTCTCCTCATCTCGGACGAACTCAACCACGCGTCGATCCGCTTCGGCGCCCGTCTGTCCGGCGCGTCGATCGCCATGTTCAAACACAATGACATGAAGGATCTGGAGATCAAACTGCGCGAGGCGATCAGCCAAGGACAGCCGCGCACGCACCGCCCGTGGAAGAAGATCTTGGTCGTCGTCGAGGGTCTCTATTCCATGGAGGGATCGATGTGCAACCTCCCCGGCCTGATCCTGTTGAAGCGACGTTACAAGTTCAACCTGTTCGTCGACGAAGCCCATTCCATCGGCGCCATTGGTCCCCGCGGGCGCGGCGTATGTGATTTCTTCAGCGTTGATACCAGTGAAGTGGATGTCCTGATGGGGACGCTTACCAAGTCCTTTGGCGCCAACGGGGGTTACATCGCCGCGGATAAGGCGATGATTGACACCCTGCGCGCAACCAACTCGGGCGTTCTCTACGGAGAGTCTCCGGCGCCGGCTGTGCTGTCGCAGATCTCCTCGGCGCTGCGGCTCATCAGCGGCGACATCGTCCCCGGCCAGGGTGAAGAGCGGCTACAGCGATTGGCCTTCAACTCTCGTTACCTGCGTCTTGGGTTGAAGCGTCTTGGCTTTATAGTATACGGCCACGACGATTCGCCTATCATCCCTGTTCTCCTCTTCAACCCGGCCAAGATGCCCGCCTTCTCCCATGAAATGCTTCGACGCAAGATCTCCGTGGTTGTCGTCGGCTATCCGGCGACCCCTCTGGTCTCCTCCCGAGCCCGGTTCTGCGTATCGGCCGCCCACACGAAAGAAGACCTGGATCGGGTCCTGGCTGCGTGTGACGAAATCGGAAACGCGCTGCAACTCAAGTTCTCGACCGGTGTTGCTGGGGGCGCCTTGCCGCCCACCGACGACGTGAAGCCGTCTCCCGAAATGCTGAAACACCAGCGTCGTAATCAGAGCAGCACCGTCATCCCGCCGCGCTGGCGCCTCGAAGATGTGATCAAGCGTGGTGTTCAAGATGTGCAGACGCCGTTGTACTAAACGGACACACACTTGGTCTTTTGGAAGCCCAACCCAGCCTGCCCATCTCGGGGCGGGCCGGGCCATTCGTTACGTTGAATGTCCATATTACCTTTGGTGCTCTTGCATATAGGATTGGAAGGAGTTCTTTTTCACACAGTCACGGTTCAATTTTTATACGGCCCCGGTTGATGCTGGTCATACCGCGTCACAGATTCTATTATTATCACCGCCTCTATCGGCGTTTCGGAGATCAGTCCACGCGCTCCATGGGAGCGTTCAGATTGAACGACGGTCGGGGTATCATCATGGTTCATCACACCTACAATAGCTGAAAAAAACCATCAACCGCAACAAAACATACCCTCGCCTCGTCTTCTATCATCCTCTTGACCTCTCCGCGCCGTGCAACTGACAGAGAACCGAAAGTGGTCAGGATCATCCTCCACTTCATTCCGCCGTGTTCCCTCTCCCCACGATCATCTCCTAATCACCGTTATCATCAGCATCACCATTATTATCATTATTCTTCTTCATCCGGCAGTGTCCCCTCCCCCTGGTCAAATCATCACCACCGTCATGTCATCCCTATAGACACTTCCTTCTGACCCACCGAGCGGTCGCCTATCGACTGCCCACCAAGTGCTGGAGGGCCGGGGTGCCTGCTCTTTGTTCCCTTCCTCTCTTCTCTTTTCTTCTTTTTTCTTTTCCCTTTTTCACATACATCTTTTATTACCCGGGACGTTTGCACCGACCCGCTGTACCTTAGCTTAATGAAATGAGGTTGACGATGAACGAGCGTTCCTGTAAGGTAGATATAGATATGATATGCCTCGGTCATTCATTCACCGTTAGAATTTGTAATTATAGACAGATAAATGCTTAAGTCTATGGAATTTCACGTCTCATTGTTCTTTTCTGTTCTGTTATGTCTTCTGTATTAATTGTCTACCACCACCACTATCCATACGACAATACATCTTGTATATGGCAAAAAGCTACGTATATATATGCCCATACATAGGAGAGGAAGGAAGAAGTTTGCTTTTTACTATAAGCTATCACCAGCTGATTATATATATAGAAACAGCTAAGCAATAAGGTAAGAGGAACTCAGTTATATGATACTATCTCTCATATAAAATAAGCTATCTCGATGAATTTTACAGGGGCAGGACTGCTCCCGGAACCCGGGCCCGGACCGGGCCTAGAGATGTAGAATCTGGGGCATTGTTCTGCGACCAACAGGATCCCCGTGGGATAAACCCCAACCCAATTGGCCTGAGGAAAATGGCCTCCAAATCAACCGCCCAGAGACAATAAATGCAAGCATCTGACCCAGAAAACTAACTTCTTTCTTTCTTCTCCCATCAGGTCCAACACTCCCCCACCACTTTTGCTATAATCTCCCCCTATGATGGGATTTACGCTGCTACTCCGTTGCTTGATGCCGGATTCCACCTGGCCAGTCCACATCTCACATACAGCGACTGGCCAAATTCCCGATCCACAAGTATCTGAGACGGTTTTCTCGATCTTACTGTAGCTGGGTTGGGGCTACCTACGACAATCAGATTGCTCAGCTTCCGTTTGGGTTGATCCTGAAATGGTCTGATGGTACTCGGTTGGAAGAAGTCTTGACGATGGAGGTTGCCAGAAGGGCAGGTCTCCCAGTTCCGAGGGTGATATGCTATGGAGAACATCCGGATTGTCCGCATGCTCCCATATCGATCCTGGTGACGCGTATCCCCGGGGATGAACTTGGTCGAGTGTACGAGACGCTCAGCGACGCGGAACGGGAGTCCATCCAGATGCAGCTAAAGGGCTATTTGGAAGTGATGCGGAGATGGGAAAATCCGTGGGGCGGGAGCAGAATTTGCTCTCTGGCGGGCACGGCTGTCCGGAGTGTCCGCGTGCCTAATCATCTCGCTGGGCCTTTCGAGTCGGAGCAAGAGCTCAACGAGTACCTTCTGAAGCCCGCTTGGGCAGGCGGCTTCCCGTCTGAAGCAGAATACAACAATGCACTCAATCGTGCCAAAAAGATGGGGTCGATGGCTCATCGTGTTTTTTTCACGCACGGGGACCTTAAACACCATAACATCCTTGTGCAAAACGGACAGATCACGGGGTTTCTGGACTGGGAATCGGCAGGCTGGTACCCTGAGTATTGGGATTTCACCACAGCGCTCGGGTTCACTCGGGAAGATTTCTGGTGGTACAACTTCGTAATGAGGCTTGGGGGCAGCAAGTACATGGAGGAACTAGACTGTGAACGTGCGTTGACTTCTTTAACAAGCTCTTCGTATTACTGGTAGCATGTTAGCTCCCCCCCCCCCCCACTTACTGAATGATATAAGCTCAGGGTATGCGTAGGTCTTTTCAGTGAGCCAAAAGCAAAAAGGCAAAAACTAACACGTGAGCACTGTGGCTACCGAAGCAGAATGACTTCTGGACATGTTGAAGCTGTGGTGCAATTCTGGTACATATTGTAATAGTATGTACTGACTGATCCTCTATCATATGACTGCCGTCTATAGAAAGCTGTAACTGTATGTATGTATGTGTGTATACCTACCAACCAACCAACCAACCAGATCGGAGTAACCAACCTAACCCAAGACAGACCAACCGTTGTGAATCCAATTCTGATGACGCATGCGTGTGTGTATGAACGCCAAACAATGTGAAATGTGGGAGGAAGGTACGAATGCAAGAATTGGAAAAAAAAAAAAGGAAGAAAGTACGCCAAGAAGCTAAGCCAAGTGAATGCTAAAAGTAGGAAACCCGAAACCGGAAATAAAAGTGCTGAGCGAGGGAATGAAAGCACAGAGTTCAGAGGAAACATGTACTCTGGTGTGTATGTCGTAACGTCATGATTGAACCCCCTTCTGTAAATACAGGTGAGATCGTCGGGAATAAGAGCAAATGGATGATGCGAAAGAAGAAATGGACATCAAGAAAGTGACTGCCTGGAGAATGGCATCAGACAGTACCATATCGATCCCGCTCACCAGCGAGAAGACGCTGACTCTCGTGAGACGCCTCCGCAGACTGCATCCGATTCGGAGAAACAGAGGGGATCCAGCCTCTCATCCAGCCCCGGACGCGGGTCCACCTACTACGGCCACGCTTGGGATCCTCAATCTCCATGACAGATTCGTCATCATTTGAGCCATACATGAGAAACTGGGCGCCCATGAAGCCATCGAAGAAGAGCACGCCAAAGGCGCCAAGGAAGAACGGGATGGTTCGGCCGATCCATTCCAGCCGGTCGTTGCCGTCCGCGTCGGCCCACCCGCCACCGCCGTAGGGTGGGAGGTCGGCCCAGGCGTTGGGGTTCGTCAGGAGCGAGGCGGAGTAGAAGAAGTTGCCGCAGAAGGCAGCCATGAAGAGAAGTGGGGACAGGCCTGAGGTACTTTTGCGGCAGTAGTTCTTGTAGAGCTGGGGTGGGCGCGAAAATAGGTACAGGACGGTCGACATCCAGGAGAAGATCCGACCGAGAAGCTCGAGGCTGTCGTCTGACGGACTGGCTGTGGTTTGCACTTCTGTCGGTGCGGCGTTTGCGGCCATGGCGCAGAGCATCGAGGCGAGTAGAATGGTCCTTGTTGGTCCGGTAGGGAGGCTCGGTCCGCTGCTGGGTCGGCTTGTCGTGCGTCGGGATGTGCTCAGTTTCTCGTTGTGGGAATACGACGGAGACTGGCCGCCTAGGGAGCGTGGTAGTGGTTCCTTGAGATCCGCTATGCTCTTTGCGTCGGATCGCGGTGGCCCCCGTGTAGGAAGTGTCTGTGATGCGGAATCTTCCGCCACCACGGAGACCCCTTCCAGAACGTCCTCCGATCCGTCATGGCGACGCGACGAAGAAAAACCAATGTAGCCATCCTCCCATCGTACTTTGTAGTGCGTGTACCAGAAAAACTGGAACACTAGCGTCACATCGACCAGCACATAGTACCCTGCAATAACCACCTGCCATCCTGCTTGCCTGGTGAGCAGAGCACCGAGCAAATTGCTCGCGTCACCCAGACACCATTCCACAAGGAAGTAGATGGACAACCCCGACGTTGACTGGAGTTGGATATTCTTGTATATTTGCGGGAGTTGCGCGAATAACCACGAGACAATACTGAGCATCCCAAGGAGGGAGGATATGAGTGCGAGAGGCGTCGGAAGGCATATGTGCAGGTGGGCGGAAATGTAGGCCAGTACGGGCGATGTCGGTTCACAGTGATGCGGTAATGCAGCTTCTAATCGTGGGAAATGCATGACCTGTTTCTGCGATGATGTGTCACGCAGACAGAACTCTGCGGTATGGTTCTAGCAGTGTTTGAGGGAGAATAATGTAGGGAGACCGGCACGCGTCAGACGAAGCAGGCGTAAGTCTCTCAAGCGGTATACTCCAACTGTACAGGGAGAGATGTTCGAGCGTAGCGACAAAGATTAGAGAGAAATAAGAGTTGAGAGAAGAAGAGAAAAGAAGAATAACAAGTCGGATGAAAGGAAAAGGAGAGAGTCAGGGAGGAGGGAAGGGATGAGGTGTGATGGACTAGTCCAGTCAGTCATTCGAGCTGAGATCCGGTCACGAGTTGATGGGGATGATTGTCACCGCTGATAACAGATCCCCCGCTATCCAGTCCCGCTGATTGGCTGCCCGCAATACAGTGGATCGGGCATCCGGTGGGTCAGCCTGAGGCTTACCGTGTTTGGCGATTGCGGATCTTCATGCCTCACTAGTGTTTACACCGCGGATATCACACCCGGTTGTGGTAGATCTTCAGGAGCACCTCCTCCATGATTCCTCCCTGGGGGATGGAACTTTGAAGAATTTCATCTGCAGCACCACGCAAATAAGGTTTATCCATCGTTACATGCTTGACGTCCGTACGTGGCACGGATACTGCTATTTATGCCGTTCACCCAGCCGCTTACGACGGAGCGTGATGCCTGAGAGTTGAGAGCTGATTCGACATGGCTTGTTTCATGGATCTTGTGGTTCACGCAGTGTGACGATAGACGGGACTTAATTATCCTACATACTGATGATCAATCGTGGGGTCTAGAAGAACAGCGTACTGCACGAGCTCATGTGGTTTGTGAACGGACAAAACGACAGCCTATGATCTGAATACCTGTATAGGCACACCTAATAGTAGACCAGTAGATATGTATGTATTTATTTAGTAATCGTCATCTGTGACAGGATAGTGTACCATTGTCTCAGGATAATCCCAGTGCATCCCCCAAACATGATAGGGAACAGTGAATGGAAAGTAAGAAATACGACCTCGTCCCACACTTCAGCTCTCCATCCAGATAAGACCTATTTGATATGACTCATACATACTGCAACATCTAGACTGGCCTATCTCAATTGACGCATCGACGTGTACTTTGGCTCTCCCCGCCATTGGTCTAGCAAGCCAAAGTGGATTTTCGCGATTGCTCGACATCCAGGGTGTTGTGTCGGATTTGATTGGTTTTCGGGATTAAGAGCCTGTTTGAACTAAGTTCTAGTCTAGAATAAGGTTTGGCAACTTGCGGATGGTGGCTGTCGATTGGTCTAGCCGGATATCGGAGATCTGATATCGCTGAGCCTCATGCCTGGGCTCTGATAGTGGCGAGATAGGCCTGCTCAAGTCCTTTGTAGTAATTTCATGGCTACTAATTGAATTCCATGGCTACTGATTGAGGATACAGCTAGTACTTAAACATGTATGTTTATCTGTTTTAGATCTATCAACACATAAATAATGCGTAGAATTGTAGTGTCTGTAATTACTCCCAATCATCAATCATCACATCATCAGAATCATCAATCTTGACAACGGCATCTTCTTTAAACGCCCCATTCTAAAAACCAGCAAATCACAAAGCAAGCCAACAAAGCACAAATCCATAACAAAACAACAACCTCAACAATCCACCGCACAAATTCCCAACCCCCAACCAACCCACCCATCAAGAACTCCCACTATAGCTAGTACTACTAGTATCATGCTTCGACCGGCTCCGATGATGACTATGACTGTGGCTATGGCTATGGCTGTGACCATGACCATGACCATGACCATGACCATGATGGCCATGGTGATGACGATGACGATGACGACGTCTCCCATGCCGATGTCCATGCCCATGCCCATGCCGACCACCATGATGCTCCCCCTTCCCATCATCCCCCTCCAAGCGATCTCCAATGAAATTCCCCAGCAACGCACCACCCACAGCCCCCAACAGCCCGTGGCCCTTTTTATGTCCCAGATAGTACCCCGTAGCGCCGCCTACCAGGGCCCCGCCTACGCTGCGCTCGTCGCCGCTGCCATCTGCGCCGCCGTCCTTTTCGCCTCCGGGAGCTTCTGGGAGATCAGGTTGCTGGGATGGGTGGGGACTGTTCCCGCTAATATTCTCAGCTGGGTGCTGGGTGCTATACAAATGAACACATCACAATCCTGAGTTAGCCAACCGTCCAGACCAGAAAGTGCACGCGGACGTTCACAAGAGGATATACACACTAATAATCCGCATTACTCCCCATCTTCCCCACAGCCACAGCCTCATAATTTGGACTCAGTCGCCCCGAATCATAGTACTCCTGCGGATGATACTCCGCCGCCGACGCAGGACTCAAAAAGTGATCGCTCTGGCTCTGCGCCGGTGGCGGCACCGGAGGCTGATATCTTGGCGTCTGGCTCACATCGTAGTGCGATCCATACTGATCTGGCGGGATGTGTTGGGCGTAGGGATACTGCGTCTCGTAGTCATACGGAGGATGTTGGTAGAGGCTATCGGGCGGTGCGTAGAACGCAGCGTCGCTTTCGGCGGGAGGAGGAGGAGGCGGACCCGATTGCTGCATGTACTGTGAGTGCGAGTGTGGGTGTGGGGGTGGGGGTGTATATTGTTGGTATGGATCGGCCATGTTGAAGGGTACGTATGTGGTTTGAAAGAGCGTAGGGAAAAGAAAGAAGTTCACGATGGCTGGGATAAGTCAGGACGTTGGCTCAGTATGTATAAATACTGGGAATTGTAAAATGTCAGAGAGGGCATGCGTGTATCATTACTGACTGTGTGTCTTGTCTAATGACTGGCTGAATGACGGCTGAATGACAGCTTCCCTATCTGCTGACCAGCCCGCACGACACACCCCTGCAATGCATTACACATCGGTCTTGTACCTCGTACTTACGTCAGACCTGATGATAGTCAATCATGTTGATGACAGATATTGCTATGGATCATAGATGTATATACTGACATTGCTGAATGGGTTCTGCAAATATCCACTTTAATCCATGACTGATGCCAGGTACTTAGTACGAAATCGACTTTCTACTCCAAGTATCTATAGGTATTAAGGTCTAAAAAATGGATAATTCAAATTCTCAAAATCAAATAGGGGGAATAGTAAGCAGAGAAAAAAAAAATAAAAAACAAAGGCAACAAAGACAGATATCACTTGGGTATCCCAGTAGGGTTGAAAAGGCGGGGAAATCAACGACCAACGAAAACTGGCGAAACGACCGGTAGCAAACAAGAGAAAAAAAAACCACCATGTCCTACGAGGCAGCCATACTGCCCTCGATGATCCCTTCAAGAAAGGGCAGATAAAGGAGCGTCCAGATGGTCCAACCAAAATCATGCGTCCAGCACATCGCACCGCTTCCAGCCAATAGGTAACCAAAACTAGGCCGTTTGCTGCATAGGAAACCAAGCTCGAGTCCAGCCAGATAAAAAGGAGAATAAAAAAGAGAGAAAGAAAGATAGAAATGAAAAAGTATACTCGGAATGCGAGCCACCCTTACTTGCTTGCTGTGCTCTGTGCTTTCCGGGTGATCCAGTCACTTAGCATGGTGTCCAAATGACTGGTCATTTCCTTCAGCCTCTTGCTTTCTTCTTTGAAGAGACTTCCGGTTATCGGATGGTCAGGACCAGCAGGTGGGACATTGGAGTTGTCATGGACAAGAATAAACAGATCGCGGATATCATTTTCTTCGTCAAGATACGAGCGCAGGCTTGCATCGCTCCATGGGGGAAGCTCAGAAGATAACGATATAGAGGTCGCGTCGCTAGCTTTTCGATCCATAGTATCACTGGCAGGTGACAGAGGCGGGGAGACTGGAGAAGGAGAGCGTCCCGGTGATGACATGCCTGGTGCAAGTGGTGAAACTCCAGATACCATTGGAGATGTGTGGATAGGCGAGTCCAAACGTTGACTCCGGTTTTCTGGGCCCTGACTTGGCGGAAATTTTTGGGGCGGAGACACCACAGACTGCGGTTGCACATACGCATGTTTATCAACCAACTCTTGCTCGTCTTTTTGGTTCTTTGCTGGCGACCTTGACGTATCAATAGAAGAGAGCACAGCCTCTCCGTGCGTGCCAACATGTTGGAGAGACCGGGAAGCGGTTTGAGCATCCTCAGACGCCACACGGCGAATTGTCTGGTCTGGTTTTTGGACGTCCGGGGATAGTGGTTCCTCCTCCTCTGGAATCCGTTCATGTGCCCTAGCGGTGTGCTCGAAGTCCTGCTTGGTCGGGGATGCGGCCTCGCGAGACGGCTTCTGCAATTTACTGGTCTGTCTTTGCATGGCAGCGACAGACTTGGGAGAACGCGTCTCGGGCGAAGAGACGGTAGAAATCGACTCCATTGAGGTCTTTGGCGGTGGTGACATGCGGGATGATTCACCGGAGACCTTCTCGAGGTCCTCGGGCTCATCTTCGGAGGTCCTGGGTTTCTTGTCCTTTCTCTTGAACAAGCCACTGAGCATCCCGCCCTTCTTGTCCTTCCGTTTCTTGTCTTCCTTGGCTTTCTCTTTGTCGGTCGTGTAGATAGATGCCTTGTCCAGCGTGTCCAAGCTTCCACGGCTCTGCAGCACAACATCCTGTCAGCACCTTGAACAGGAAACAAAGACCAGTGGAAAAAATACCTCTTTCGAATCGGGTGACATAGGCCCGCCACGGTTCTCATCTCGGAGAAGATTGGGAGTAAGTGAGATCTTCTTGGTTTCCACTGTCTCATCTTTGAAGAAGGAGTCCGTATTTCGCACAGTACCGTTCCTCGATCTGCTGACATTGCTCTCGGCTACAAACAAAGTTAGTTTAGTTGCCAAACAGCCGAATGGCACGAATCGAAATAATCTTACCGTCAGGTTCTAGGAGATCTTGGCTTGAGCGTGACTTAGTAGGGCTGGAGGGATCGGCTTCTTGCGCTTCATCCGTCCTCTCAATTTCTTCCGATACCTTGTCACGCTGTGATTTAGTTCTCAAGGGCTCCACAACAATGTCATCGTCTTGCTCTTCTTGAATGTCGTCAACAACGTCCCGCGCCAAGTCCTCATCAGCGAAGGACGCATCATCATCATCTTCCTCGTCAGTAGACCAATCGACATCGGATGCTTCGATGTAGGTCGGACTAGTGAAGGCAACCGACTTTGCGTTTCTGCGCCGCATTGCTTTTTTGAGCGGGTTTTTAGACTTTTCCGAGTTGTCTCCCAGCATTGTGGCAGAAAGCTAAAGATGTTATTGGACGAATCAAGGAGCCGAGTCAGGGCCACATACATCAACATTCCTGTGCTTGTTCAAACGAGCAAGCCTCTCGGTTGGCGTTTCAATATGCTCAGCGGGAAGATACCCTGGGTTTGGTGAGTCAAATGAATGTTATTGGCAGGACCTCGACGTACCAATGCTGCCATCTTTAACAATACGAACAAGCCACCAATAGCTGTTGCTGTCGTCGAGGAGAACCATGGTATCGCCTTTGGATGCATTGGCCTGTCCATCGACCGTCGCGACGAAATTGTGGAGGGCGTAAACGAATTCAAAGTCGATATCCTCTGATCGGGGTTAGCCTGAGACTTGTAGGACCGACGCATATCGCGGAAGTGGTATGACAGAATGCCACCAAGCGAACATTACTCACCATCATCGATCGATGGGGAGCTAGAAATTTTGTCCATAAACTCGTCATCCAGCATATCATCACTGTCCCCGTCGCCGATGTCGCCATCGTCCGCGTCATGGCCATGTCTCGAATCACCATCTAGGTCATCTTCGTCATCATACATATCTATTCCGTCGCCGTTCATCGAGACTCCTCCAGGGCCTTGCTTTATTTCCGACTTCGAGTCTTGATCGGCATGGCGGATAGATTGTTCCTGATGGGGGGCAAGGGTACCCTGGGTGTTGGCCGCGTTGCTACCCTGCTTCGTGTGGTCCTTCGCCGACGGTGCCTCCGCGTCTTGGAGATCAAGGGTGTCTATAGTGTCTAGAAATTAGTACTATGTCGAGGCCATACGGAATGGGAAACAAGTACCCGCTCGCACCATCTTCGGTCTCGCCATGGTGCTAAAATTGGAGGTTTTAATATGGCGCAATGATAGTATGTAGAAGCTGAGGTGAATCTCGCGAGATCAAGGGCGGTTCATTAATATGGTAATTGTGTGTTGGATCAAAGTGCGGAAGGAACGCGGCGGTTCTGACGACCCAGAGAAATCGAAGGAATGACAAGAACGACGAGTGTAAAAAAGAGCGAAGGCCACAAGGTTCCGGCCGCGATCAATAGAGACGAATATAAAACGAAGAGACGATTACGCCACAAATAGCGACAGGGTGGGGGGGGCACTGGGCCACAGAAAACAAAGAATAATCGCACAAGGCGATCGAAAGGGGGGCTCGAGCGACGGGATGAAAATAATACTTCCAGAGTAATATGAGCGACCGAAAAGAAAGCAAAAAAGAAAGAGGCCGTGGGCAGACAAACAAACAACCCGGAACTCTGTCCGTCAGTTGGATGGAACGAGCTCCCCAGACTTGTGAGACACGCGGGAAAAGGAGGTCTCCAGAATCTCCGTAACAAGCGCCCCTTGCGCGCGCCTAATTAGGCCAAGGTCGAAAAGGAACTCGTGCCTGGACCACAGACACGATCCCTTGGGTCGTCCACTTCGGTTAGCCCCACTAGATAGATGCCCAGGCTTGGTTACTGTAGAAAGGTGTATATGCCGCCCAACTGTTCTTCCATGCCCAACGGACACTTTAGATTCCCCTTGGGTCGGGAATACATCTTCTGGAATCATAGGTATGATGGGTCTTATTTGCATCAATTACATCGAAAAGGAATATTCGATCCCTTTCCCGGTCAATCTAGTTAAGAATTTCTCGTCTTTATCATCAAATTAAACAACATGGAGATTCAATTAAGACATACAAATCATCAAGGGAAAATGTCTTTGCTAGAGACTTGAAATCTCTGAAAGATCATTAGACCTCGATGATCAGAGATATTTTGTTATGCTCTCTCTATGACGTTGCAATTCTATGCTTCCACATGGAAAATGAAATAGTTAATTATAGCAACAAAACTATAGTGAGGGATCATCATACGACTCGAGAATATTAATATAGAAATGGTTGCATCATCGGGGATTCTGCCTTTAGTACATGGGTTGGAAGCCAGCCTTGCAGGCCTTCAAGCGAATCGTATGTGGAGTAGTAGCACTTCACGTCATATATTAGATGAAGACACACTCGTGGAAGCACAACGTCGTTGCCATCCAATGAGACATACTCCGTGGTATGTTTCTCAGTCGATGCATGGGCTCCTTCCTATCATAATTAGACATGTATTGGACTGACAATTGAGCCCAAGGATCGAAAGACCAATTCTGGATGATTTTGGATCTACTACGTACTCCACTCACACATCTATATGTAGTATTACGGTGGGGTTTCAAACAAACTTCCCCTGTGAGCGCCTAGGCTCCTGCAATCTATTCAATTCCGGTCTGATTACCCCATAGTTTTATCTAACTTAAATAGTATGTCCCGAGGAGCAAGTCATCATGTATACATGGTCACGGTTTGTACCACCACTATACCAAGGGGGTAGAGGGTATTAAGAATGATAGATGGACAAGGTCTTAAGTAATCTGCGAGTTCATTATACATAAATAAACATAATATAAACGTTTGAGTGGCTGAGCGAGAGGCGATAATGCAGGCTCCAGACGAACTCACCGGGACGCACTTAGGGTTTAGGGTACAGGGTAACAGGGTACACTGCATTAGCGCCGATGACTTTAGGGTCAGGTGATAGACCGGACGGGTCCACCTTACGTCTACCCCAGCGTTCATTGGTTCTGGTTGATAGCATTGTACATTAGTCACCCTGACCCGCCTTCCCCGCTGTTGCTCATTTCCTCATCCTGCAGTAATCGACCTCCGTATTCACCCGATATGCCCATCCTTGCCTCTTTTTCATCCCAATCTGACGATTTTTCCTTCTTTCCTACCATCCATATTAATCTATGTGACCTCATTCTTATCACCATTTGTCGATGAGACCCTTTCCACTACCTGCCTCCTATACTTGCTGTCGACGTCATCCTTTGTCGGGTGTCTTTTGCGACAACATCCTTTATCATATAATCCACCTCTCACCACACATGTTGTCTCGTGATACTCGCTAGAAACTTAACAACATCTCGACATAACTACTACGAAAACTAGCCTCGCACTCTCAGGGAGGGGCATGGCTGATACAGATAGGAACAGTGCGCTGGCTGGGTTGAGGCTTGATACTTCTTTCGATCTCGCACACAGGCCCCGGTGGCGGCCTGAAAATGGGGGGCGAGGAGGAATGGGTAGTGGAGATGGTATCGAGGGCGACCGTACCAACACTTTTCACGATTATGACGCATCCCGTGGTGGTACTGATGAAGACAACAGTGTGCTGAATGATTTGCATTCATCGACACCGCCAATCTCCGTACCCCGTCCTGACGAACCTCCTCCGCAAGATGATGTCGAGTTCCCTCATAAACCGGATGATATCCCAGCTTCCCCTTTTGATGAGTTCCTGCAAAACCGACGACCCTCCGTTAGCTTTGACCCGAATGTTACCCTGAACTCGGGCCAGCCGCGACCGCTCGAAGAGCCGTTACCCAAAGGCGATGGGAGGGTGCGAGCTCAGAAGTTCCAGCCGAGGAGCTCAGCTTTGAGGAACGCACTCCCTCAGGAAGATGGCGGGACTCGTGATGCTCAGCAGGATATCGACCGTCCGACTTCTTTGACATCCGTGTCAACTGCATCCCCCGTCACAGAGGAGCTGAGAACTCCCCCGGAAGCGTCGAAAGGCATCCTTCCTTCTCCAATCTGCGTGGCGTCCCCAGCACAAACATTTGCGTCATTGGATGATCGCAGCTCTTGGTCGGGAAGCGTGCCCACTCCATTCGGAAGCAAGCAGAGGGGTCTCCGAGGCTCTACTCGTCATGGTTCCCGCCGATCTACTGCCTCAAGCGGCAAGTCACCAGCCAGCATGTTCCTTTCTATGTGGAGCACTAGGGAAGAACCTGCCCCCAAGCCTGACGATGAGGGACAAATGGTCGGAACCGATTACGTCCTTGGAAAGCAAATCGGCTTCGGTGGCTTTAGTACGGTCAAAGAAGCCTACAAAGTCGAGGAGAGCGGCGAAACCAAGCGGCTGGCTGTCAAGATCGTTCGGAAGCAGGTTTCTGGCAAGAGCGAAATGGAGAACGACGCCGTTCAAGCGGAATTTGACCACGAAGTCGGGGTTTGGCGATATCTCAGCCATCCGAATGTTTTGACACTGGACGCGGTCTACGAGACCGAATACGCGACTTTCTGTTTCACCAAATTGCACATCGGCGGCACTCTATTTGACGTCATCCGCCAAAATCGTTCTGGTCTTGGGTTGAGATTGGCGAAAAAGTACACCTATCAGCTCGCCTGCGCTTTGCGATACTTGCATGAGGATGCACGCGTGGTGCATCGGGACATCAAACTCGAAAATTGCCTCCTGGATCCGGTGGAGCTGTCCGATGGCCAGACTTCGTCAAATCTTGTACTGTGTGATTTTGGAATGGCAGAATGGATGTCCACGGACAATGACGGTGGCTCGCCCGACCCTTACGACGATGCAGCGGATCGGCCACCCCCGCAGAATATTGGACCTGCTGGTTCCAGTACCAGCGTTGCAGGAAGCCTAGAATACGCGCCTCCCGAGCTGCTTCTTTCTTCATGTGGCATTATCGCCCCTTCGGTCGACATGTGGGCGTTCGGTGTCGTCCTCTTCGCTGTGCTGGTAGGATCACGACCATTCCAGGACCCCTTTGCTCCTCGCATCCAAAATTGCATCATCAACGGCATATGGGACAAGAACGCCGTGCTGGGCGCGGACGATGAGTTACCTGGTCGCCAGCAGCGAGAATTTGCGCTGGAGGTGATTGCGGGATGCCTTGATATGAACCCTACAAGCCGCTGGACTATTCGCGATGTTCTGTCCTCTCGCTGGTTCCAGGAGTATTCGGACGGTATCGATGACAGTGCCGTTGAAAGCCCATGGAGACTGTAAAAGTTGTCTCTGGGGTCATGCGGTGTGATTTGTGTTATGAGCCCTCGTTGATCGATGGGTCGTCACGGATTGACACGGATTTCTAATTTTACGATCTGGAGGTCGTTTCTACCTTATAATGAATTTGGACGAATGTGGTGGTGTTTGGGATTTCGATCATATTTGATACCCTTCTCTTTTTCTCTTGTTGTTTCCCTTCCCTTCCTATGTTACTCTCTCGCTCTCCCATGGTGTCTTCTCATTTTTATTTTTCTGCTACTTTTTCTTTGATATGCGTCTGTTTTCCAAGCATTGTCATTTTGGCTTTTCAATCCCCCATTATTCGCATTTCCTTTCCAACAAGTTGAGCAAAATCCCTGAGCAAATTTTTGAGCAAAGTTATCAAAATGGTACGCGGGCAACCAGCAAGGCGTTTGTACGGTCGGATCTTTTCTGCCTTAATTATCGTGTATATATATACCTATATTTATTCGGAAGGTTTTATTCTATAATAGGCTCAAGTGGCTTTATCATTCGACTTGAAGACAACAGGCTTGTAAATGAAATTATTGGGATAAGACTAGCATACTGAAAATGATCCAATTTACGTAGGTTCGTCTTCCCAAGTTTTATAACCAAGCCGTGGTAGATCTCACAATATAGAAAAGACTTATGCTCAATGCGTATTCCACAAGGATCTAGAAAATGATATTTATACAAGGACCCAATATAACAAAAGAGAAAAAAAAGATAGAAAAAGAAAAAGAAAGGCATCACATCAACCAAACCCTACCAAAATACACAGATAGAAAAGCGCTAACACCAAACAGTCAAGCACCAAACTACCTCACCCACCTTACCAGAGTCTGTTCTCAGGCAACACCTTCTCCTTCCTCGTACCAGCAGCCGACTTCCTCTCGACAGGGCTGCGGAAGAACAAACTCGGACCCTCCATCGGCTTCAGCAGATGGCTGAGATACCCCCGGTGGGCAGGGTCACGGTAGTACTCGATATCGCGACGCTTAGTCGGGTCCGGCAGACGGTACTTGAAGCCCATCTGGCTCATGACGGCCGCTTCGGTCATCTGGCCCTCGAGGATGCCGTCCGCGCGGTGCAGCTCGTCGCTGCCGCTCTCGGTGGTCCACGCTGTGGACACGAACGGGTGCATCTCGCGCTTCATGATGCGCGCGATGGCGGAGCGCGTGTAGAAGCGGGCGGTCACGGAGCCGCCGGCGGATTCGACGGCCGCGATGGCCGAGGCCGAGGCGCGCGATACCACGATGTGGATGGGCTGCTTGAGGGCGCTGCTGCTGCCGGTGGCGGCCTGGGTCTCGGCGGAGGCGTCGGTGGGGGTGTCGGCGTCGGCGGAGCGGCCGAGAAGCTTCACGCCTTCTTTGGTCTGGTGGATGCAGCGGGATTGGGCGAGCTCGCGGATGGTGATCGGGCGGGTTGGGTCGATGCGGCCTTGGTCGATCCAGGATTGGATGCGGTCTAGGTTGACGGTTGCGAGGTCGAGGGCGAAACTAGCTTCTGTTAGAATATTGATTCTCCTCTTGGAGCATATAACATGCAATTCCTAAAATGAAAGAAGAAGAAAAAAAAAGAAAAAGAAAGAGGGAAAGAAACATACACATTATTCCACCCTCTCTCACCATGCACAATAATCTCCGGCGTCTGACCACCATTGAATCCCGCAGGGACCTTCCCGTGCTGACCCTGACCCTTATGACCACGACCGGACGTCTTTCCCTTCCCCGAGGCAGGACCACGACCGCGACGGATCTTCTTGTTGTAGGCGCCGGGGTTATCGGAGAGCGAGGCGAGGATGTGGGCGTTCCTGGTTTGTTGCTGCAGTTGCGGGAGGAGGAACTGTGTTGGGGTCGCCACGATTGGCTTGACGAGGGCGCGCTGCCATTGCATGGCCAACGCTTGGAGTTTGGGAGCCATTGTTGCAATGGCGTTGTGGACGGCGTGGTTATGGGCGGCGTTATGTATATGGATGGGGACGAACGGGCGACAAGATCTTTCCGGGTTGTTGCTGCTGGCGGCCCGGGGTGGATAAATGTCGGGCCGTTTACTAACAAAAACCACCAAGTCCGTAAGTCAATATATCGTCAAGAGACTTACGATAACCAATCATTCGTGCTCCTCGACGGAGTAAATCCTATTGAAAAGCTGTAAAATGGGAAAACATTTGATTAAAAAAAAAAACCGATAAAAACACACCACTCAACACCTGCAACTGGCTCAAAACATCTCTCTCCTAACGGAGTACCTGCTGTAGAATACACCGACGAATACCGAAGTTTTATTTAAACCAGACCAGTAAAGCTCTATGAGCCAAGCCCTTCCTTGATATCCTCCTAGTACCCCCGCGTCGGTCAGAGCAGCAAATGCTATATATACATTGGTCAATATGGCATTGGTAATTATGATTAGAGGAGCCTGTAGGTCCGGGTGGACTGGCATGATTACTACGATGTTGACCGTCCAGTGACGACGAAAATCAGTCACCTGACAAGACTATATCTGTTCATTGACTATTACTTAAGGCGAGGTAGTAAAGTTCTACGCGACTTTGGATAACACTACAGATAAATTCCACAACTACAGAGTATAGGAAGCAATAATGTCACACGATAATCATTTTGATTGCCAGCAGAAGACCTGCCAGCCGACCTAGCTAAGTATGTCCATTTGGAACACCACTAGAAAGCGCCTAAACATGCATTGCATAAATCAACACACTGTATGTATTCGCAGATCAAATCTGCAGTAGAAGATAGATAAAAGACGCCGAGTCCCATAATGCTTCAGGAGTAGATGAAATGAGAATGAGAATGGATAAAAGTCTTCAATCCCCCAGACACGTTGTTAATCCGAGTTCTATGTCAAAACGCCATATAATGATGCCAGGTCGTGAAAAATAGAAGAAGAAAAGGTTAAAAGTACAATATACAGAGTTGTCGTAAGTTCAATAATCAGAATGGAAGAAGGATCAGCATCTCTCTCGTATGAATCGTCGTAACGCGTGATGGGTGGTTTTGCGATAATGAAATCCAGCCATCTCTAATAGTTTGGGGTGGAGTGGAAGATAGGGTGGAGGAACTGCTGTCCCTGCGACCAATCCTCGGGTTGAAGGTACGGCAACAGACCAGACTTGCGGTCGGCCGCAGTCTTGCCGAGTGGCTGATAGTGCATGTGCTCGTAGGGGATGTTGCGTTGCTGTTGCAATGACGAGGATGGCGGGGGGATCAACAGGGTGTTGACGCTTCGCACGGGCCGATAGGGCGAGTTTCGGTTCGCGAGAAGGTAGGAGGGAGATGGATAGGTTTGAGGAGTATGGACGGAATATGCCGATGCAGGAGACACGGTGGCCGATGACACTCCGAATGGACTACTGTTCAGTCTTCCAGGATCTGGCAGGGAGATCGATGTATTGGAGGCATAAGGTCCATTGGTCATGGGGGGGACAGTCATCGACTGAGTCATTTGAGACGGCCAGGTGGGAGCGGGGTGGAAAGAAGACTGCATGGCGCGAGAGGCGGCGGGGGGGTACTGAGATACCGGGGTCGGGATAGTAGGGGTGTAGGCGTAAGAGGAGGGCGGCGGGAAGTTAGGTGGAGGCAGTCTCGAGACACTTGTGGGCAGAGAAGGTTGTGAAGTGGCTGATGTCGGAGTCAAGACTGAAGGCAATGCTGGCATGTTCGCCAACGCCGACGACGGCGGCAAGACAGGCAGAGGTTTCTGCGCGGAATTTGGCATTGCCACTCTCTTGGCCGGATGCTCCTCGATCTGCTCGTCTCGAGTACGTTTTCGAGAAAGAACGGGTCCCTCGTTCCGTGGCTGGGGAGCGGCCGAGTATGCTGGGCCATTCAATGGCAAATTCCAGTTGTGAGAGCGAAGAGAATCAGATGCGGGGGGCGAGGGCAGTTTGGATACTGGAGACGACAGCTGCGGCACCCGAGGGAGCGGTCCCAAATTGGGCGAGAGACGGAGGACTGGCGGGGATGGGCCCATTTCGTTGGTCTCCAGTGCAGGAGTCGCCTTGTTGAAAAAGTCGGCAAAAAGAGCAAGCTTCGTATGCCATTCCGCCCACTGTTCCTCGGACGCGAACAGGTTGTACCGAACATTGCTAAGAAATTCGACCTCCATGATGTGAATTTCTTGAACCGAGATCCCGGAGACCTCGGCCCAGGTCTTGTTGGTGTAAGTGTTGTCATCAAGGACTGCAAACCAGTCAGCTCTCCGTTGCATCACTTTGCAAGCGCCTCGGGTTACCCACATTTATTCCCTAACATCAAGGCAATCGTCATGAGACGATACTCACTGCCCTTCTTCCCTCGCACTCCGGGGTTAAACTTCTTTAGGCGGTAAACGAACATCAATGCCAGTAGGATGACGTTCTGGCTCACTTGGGTGGTCGAGAGAATATTGGTCACCCATTTCTGAAATCCGGCCGTAGGAAAGGCCTCCGGAACAAGGTAAGGGGCGGGGTTCAGGCGGTCTTCAATGGCCTTCAACTTGGCAGTGCTTTCGAACCAAAAGAGGCACGTCATCTATTCTGGTCAGTACCCAGTCCACCTTCAACATATAGTTGATCGAGAGCTCACCTGCGCAGCGAACTCAGTCAAGCTCCCCTTGCCATTGTTGATAGATGGAGGAACTTTTAGATATGAGGGGACAGAATTGGTGCTTTTCTTCCGACTCTCCGGTTCCGAGGCCGGGGCGTTCTGGATTGACGGCTGATGGTTTCGGTGGTTGGATAGCGTCACGGCACTCGACGGCTCCGAGGGAATCCACGAGTAATTGGGGGGTTTGGCGTAGGGCGGAAGGGTGATGCCCTCCAATTTCGAGCCATAGTTGGACGGGGGTATGCTGTTGTAGGCCACGCCGGTCATGTCGCTGGGAGGAGTTGGTAAACCGTCCCTGAAGGGAGCGGTCCAGTGATCCGACACGTCGGGCACAGATTCGAGATGTCGCTTCCTTACGCCTTCCGCGCGAGTGTAGACAGGTGGGGTGGGGGTGATCGGAGGGACAGTAGGAAATGAGTGTGTCCGGAGGACTGGAAGAGACATATGGCAAGAAAGAGAAAAGAAAAATCCGGCAAGAAGACTGAGGTTGAGAGATCTAGGAGAGTAATTTTGGTAACCGGAGTTGTTGCGGAGCTCTCATTGACAGATGGTGATATATTCAATGTCACTATCCACTACCAATCCACGGTTGCAATCGCTGGTTTGTAACGGCGGAAAAGTGAATGAGCAGTCGGGGGGTGAAACCCTCAGGAATGGGTCAATTAGGTAGACACAAGATTCGAGGTTGTATACTCTCTAATTGTGAATATCATGAAGCCATGCGGGTCTTGGTCGGATAGCAACAGTGGTGCTCGTGAATGTTGACCATGCCTTGCCTGGTGGAATGAAGGCACTAAAGGGGTGAGAGGCAAGATCTGGTGAAGGGGGTTTCCAGGCCAAGATAGACAAAACTATCACATAGTATTCATAGCAATATCGAGAGATATATCGAGAATAAAAAGGAAGGGACGTGAGGTGAAGGTATAAGCAGGAACTATAGCAGTTGGCGATTCAACCAGTTATAGATCAAAGCGAAGTATGTCCTAAGAATAATTAAATGAAAATCAAATCAAAGTAAAGGATAGTCATAATCAAATACCCAGAGTATTATAGTAGAATGGAATAGTAATTAATAAAATAAAATAAAATAAAATAAAATAAAATAAAATAAAATAAAATAAAATAAAATAAAATAAATGAGAAGAGAATCCAGCAAGTGAATTAAATAACTAAAAAAACCAAAAAGCTAGTATACCAAGACGCTCTATGGATCCAAACCATGTAAGAGAATGGATTTAAAATTGAATAAGGCAGGGAATGGAAAGGGTGAAGTGGAAAAGGAAATAGAGTGAAAAATAAAATAAATCAAAACAAGATAAAAAGGTAAATTCAAAAAATGAATAAATTAAAAATTGTAATAAGAGATAGAGAGAGGAGAAGGAAAAAGGGAAGGAGAATAAAACAAAAGGAAAATAAAAAGAAACCAAAAATGGTACAAAAAGGAAAAGAAAAGTAAAAAAAAATGGTAATTATAGGCAAAGGATGAGGTCAAGACATCATGCCTCATACAGCAAATACTAATAAATCATCCAACTCCGCTAGCATGAGCCAGGGTATTAATTCTCGGTCGGAACAAAGTGCTGTGACCATACAGAGTAGACAGAGTTTGACCCGGACGCAGGTCCAGAAGGCAGATCCTCCTTTCTGGACTCGTTTGGGTCGGTTCCGGTTTGGTCATCCTAGATTGGTTGTCTCTGCTTTGTCTTGAAAGAGTGATGGAAATACCGGTTGATGTCAGAAGAGCCCACGGGGGGGTTGAGGGGAGGGGAGGGGGGGCAAGGGAACAAGTGGATGCATGCTACGGAGTAGTGGAAGGGTAACAAGGTGAGCAGCCCTAGTCTTGTACCAGTAAAGTGAGTTTAAAGCGAAGAAAATAAAAGAAATAATAATAATAATAATGATAAAGGAAAGAAAGGGTAGGCTGAGCGACTAGTGAGTAAACTGGGCCCCCCAAGTCCAGTCCAGTCCAGTCCACGGGAGAAACGTCCATCAGTCAGCCAGAGAGGCGGAAAGTGAGGAAGAGAAGGAGGGGGTGGGAATTTCGGACAAGAACCTCGTAGTGGTGATTGTTTGAGTCCCCGTCAGGACCCATATCAGATCCAATTATAAATCAATTTTAGCGTCACATTGCAACCGTCTTCTTGGTGTTCCGCCCAAATAACCTTTTTATTTTGATCTTTTTTGGTTTCTTTAATTACTTTTTTTTTCAGGCTTAAGGTTTGGTAAATAATTATGTATCCGAGTTGATATTCCAAATGATAGCATAAAGCAGAAATAATACAAAGTACTGATAAGAATAATAATAGTAAATCAATCAATTAAACCAGACTATAGCAAACCATATCAAAGCAAGCAAAGCAAAACAAAACAAAACAAAAGTATAATTCGTACTTCCATATACACTCAAAATAATACCCCAGGGGTGAAGGGGGCATTGTCAGCTTCCCGGGAGGCACGGGAGAAGTGAGCAAAGGGGGGTTTGTGCACTCGTGTATGAATCTAGTTGAACCAGGTTGAAGGCAAAGGAATGAGAGGGGGGGAATAGGATACAAAATTCCATTGGCGCCGCAGTACCGGTGCAATCATCAAACGATCCTTACGGAATCATACCTGGATGATTTTACTTCGGGGAACCTCAATGCTTACAGTTTATATATGGATGGACCAAGGGGATGACTGAATTGGGGAAGGAGAGAAAAAACAATAAAGTGAAAAAAAAAAAAGAAAAGAAAAACAGAGAGGCGGAAAAGTTGGAATTATGGGTCACTTGTGTGTACAGAATGGAAATTTTGGTAAGAGTGGCCAAAGACGAGGGATTATCACTGATAGGTAGAAATATGAACCGGACTCTGTGGGTTACCTTGGAAAGCTCCCAAAGGATGGCAAAAAAACCAGGTGAATCAACCGGAACTCTAGTTGGTATGGCAAGGGTAAAGAAACAAGACGGGGCACATATGGTATGGTGTGGGTGGAGGGGAATTGACTGGGTGTGGTATTAATCATCAGGCTAATGAGCTCAAATCATATTGCTATTGCTGCTCTTAGGAGGGATAGAAGACAGAGGATTACCGATCCTCTTGTTCCCCGGTATGGAACATGCCCGGATACTGCCAGAGAGTACCATTACATTACACACTAACACTAGCCTTGACTGAAATTGGCTGTAAATGACCGACCCCCAGTCCGTACCTATCCACAGCACTGCACCGATGGAATAGTACTACATAGTAGGTAGTAATAGTCATGATAATGCTCCCAGTAGTCATGTCAATTTCGTAGTCAATTTCATGGTCGGAAAGAGCCTGAGTCCCCCGTACTCCCGTACAACCTAAGAATAACACCTCTACTCCGTAGGTAATGATTGAAGCAAACCGACTTTGACCAGCCTCGTAGCTTCTTACTGCGTACTTGCGTCCCCACCAAAAAGACCAAGGCAGGTATATGCAGCTGGAGACACAGCACGCTTGTTTGGCCAGTTTATTGGACAAATAACAACAAGCTGATGGAAGCGTCACTTTGACGAGGAGGACCCAGAAGGCCCACGAAATGGTCAGCCAATGACTTTAAACCCCACTCGTCGAAAAGAGCACCAATTCAACCCTCCAATCGCCGTGTTTGACCCGTTCATTCCCGGGCCTTTTGCCTTGCCTTGCCTTCCTTTTCCCTGTGAATAGTGGATAAGTTGTAGCCGCCGGACCTCTTGACACCGTCCTTACGAAGTGATACCACAGAAGTACAGATAGGTCACTTTACCAGGATTTGTGCCTAGGATCCCCATACATCCTAACTATCCGTAGTACTTTTCCCATCCAAGTAAAGTAATTTGCGACGCGAAGAAGTATACGAGTAAGTCTCCATACTGAGGGGGGTCAGCAACGGCCACAAACGCCCCCCCCCCTGATCCATCTGAACCTGGTAATGCACACCCAACATAATAATAATGCATTAGCTATGCGCCCTACATGCCTTTGCCAACAACCAACCTTGCCGACCGACCGGACTGGTACTGGTAATATTCTACCCGTCCAAATCACTGTATTATTACCTACTTGGTTTATTACCCTCCCTATCCAGTATCCACCCCACATAATTCATCATCATCTCCCCATCCAACACCGATCTCGTCTGCGGCGCCTTTTCTTAGACTGCTATTTTCGATCGTCCAACTGATCGTTCTTGTTAGTCTGTTGTATTCTGGCCAGTCGTAGGATTCCATAGCACGCCCCAACCATAAATCCATTAAACCCAAAAACAAGACAAAAAATTGAAGAAAGAAATGAAAACGAAAAAAAGAAAACGAGAAAAAGAAAACGAAAAGAAGGATCCATTCATCATCTCCGCGTGTCACTCTGCGGTGTGTTCGACGATTCCAATAGCCCAAAATTAATTCCAGTCCATCGTCATGCCGCCACTAGGTCCTTCCCGGTATAATTCTGGATTTCGCGACCATAGGACAATCGGTCGTTACGGACTCATGGTACCTTCTAGGATAAGTGACCAAATGGTTTAGGTAGGTAGTTTAGTTTGCCGGCGAAAAGAAGAGAGCCCACCCGACCCCCAAGAAAAAAAAAAAAAAAAAAAAAAAACCCTTGGACCCATGGAGGCGCAGTCCCGGCGACGGCGGAGGACGACGGACGGGTTGGGGACTTTTCCCTTTCCACTTCCCTTACGGGCCCCCTGTCAGCTGGGCTCGTGTACATCGATACATTAGGAATGATGGATTCGGGGATTCTGGTTGGATCGGCGCCAAAGAGAAATTTTTGTTTTCATGGTCTGATATCACTCTTGGGATTATCACATTGCGCAGCCCTCCCGTGGCAACAAGGTGGTGAAACTAACAATGGGGGCCCCGGACGAGGAGGGGGGGGGAAATGTGTCCAAGACAGACAGTCACTACCATTCCCAGGTCCCCTAGCATGGCATGGATACCGGCGCTAAGGATGGGGATGGATGATGCTCAGACAATTTGCAATAAAAGTGAACCTCCTTATCTTCTCTCTGACTCGCCTTGAGACAAAAACCAACAAGGGAAAGCAGAAAGCGGCTGGAAATAAAAACACCAAAATAAAGGAAATAATAATAAAGGGAAAAAAAACTATCTTTATTATTGATACCGCTGCGTTCAGCAGCCATCTAGTGATCACCCTACCAATAGTGCTACTCCATATATGCTTCGCCTAGCACATAGTACGGAGTACGGATTACATGGTACATAAACACTATGGGAGCGTATCAAAGGACTTCTTCTGAGCAGTTTGCCTCCTTTGCCCCATATGGAAGTGGGAAATGGATTCAATCCTTGGTCGCGATGATACTACCTCTGCCGAGAAACTTATATACAGGGGAAAACTAGGTAGATATTTTACTCCTGATCATCTGCCCAACCAGGGTCCCATATCACCCAAAATTCGAAAACTACTGGCATTGTACGGAGTAGTACTGTAGAGGTTAGTTAGCTATCCAGCCAAGGACCTACTCTTTACATCATCTACTGCGAAAGTGCTAGGTGATGCTCTGGTAATCGAGACGAGACGCCTGGTCATTTCCGGCTACCTCTGCGTTCGGAGGAGGAAAGTCGAATAGTGCTGAGCTGACCAGGACGCTTGATCGTCAACGCCAACGTCGGCGTACAACCACCACCATACAGTCAAGGGCACAGAAGTAACCACTTAGATGATACTGTCCGACGATGCATTTCCCAATATTACCACTTCTCCGAAGATTTTAGTTTGGAGATGGACGATCGAACAGCTCGCCATGTAGCGTAATGGACCTCTTTAAGTTTTGCCCGTGACACCTCAATCTTTTTTTTTCTCTGTCTTTCTTTCTTTTGCGTCTTCCGTCTTCTCTTTCTGTACGTCGGCATTGAGCAATCAATCAGTCTGACGACTGTACGGAATACTCTGTGCATGGATCATTGGAAATGGTTTGGACAGACCAAAAAGACTCCATCATTTCCAATCTCTGTCACCTGTAATTTTCATCCATGATACCTACCAGGTGGAGCAGATCAAATGTTCCAGAGCGATACATCAATGCGACCTCTCATTCGCCCGGTCGCGCAAAAAGTGGCTAACGACCAACCCCCGCCCTTCGAAGTTGGAAAAGGAAAGGATGAGGAAGGGGTGGAAACGAGTGAGAGGTTTAGGAGGAGGAGGGGGGGACGGGGAACGTGTATACGAATCAGCAAGCAACGTGACTAGCATAACCCGATGGCCCTTTAAGATCTTTTTTTGCCTGTCTTTCTTGTAATTTTATTTTTCTTTTGAGAAAATGTTTTAATTTATAATTCTATATCTTCTAGTATGCCACTGTGGAGTACTACATTTCCATATCTACTCCGTCGTCTATGACTCTAAGCCATTACAGATGCTATTTGAGGTACCATCCACCAACATATCGGGGAGACACAGGAATGACCGGATTGTGATGATGCATACATAGCATCCGCTTTGATTGATGGGCATTATTGCTGATCTTGTCAACCTGGAGCCTTTTTACTCCATTTTGTCGTCTTCTTTTTATTTGCTTTTTTCGCCTCTCCTTTCTTCAAGTTTCGCCCTCGCCCTAGTAGGATATTGACGAAATTATGAGGTTTTCGGGGGCTGTTTAGACTTTCGTATATGGAGTAGTTATTGCATTACAACTAACAGTAGCCCAACATCACATCATTAGGGCGTCGCCATGCTTTTTGTTGCCGGAATGAGTTTTTTTTTTTTCTTTTTTATCGTGATCAATTTATTTGATACTAATCCGTGGAGAGAATCTCCATGGTTCAAACCAAACCGAGAATGATTGTGAACATACTATCCGTATATCAGCTAGTCAGGCTACCGACCGAGAGATTCCGTTGGATTGAGGGTCCAGTTGAATGAATGCCGATAGGCAGAAACATTGAAGTATACGACCAGATAAAACCGGAGTATGGAAACTTAGCCGCCTTCGTATAGAATCAAACTCTACACTGGTTCCGGGTGTGGCCCG